ATCAACCCATATCGTTTATATATATAGATATATACATATTTATATATATTCTAAATCATGTGTATCAATACCCAAATTAATTCTGTTATTTAATTTTTAAAAATTTTCCTTATTTTAATTATTTTGAAAAAATAGTTATTTATTCTTATTATACATTAATAAAAACAAGTTAAATATCTTTGTTAACTACAAAGATATTTAACTTATCTTAATTATTACTAAGAAATGTACATTTTTTCATACCTTCAAATGTCTTTTGGTAGGTTGCATGTATTGACCAAGTGTCAGGCAATCGACATCTATTTTCCGAAGATCTAGTTTAAAAATAAATCAAAACTAAATTTTTAAAAATGTCATTAGATAATTAAATTAATAAAATGATTATAAATCATTGATTATAAACATAATTATGGCATAGTTTCAAAATTTGATTCATTTAAAATTTTAAATCAAAATATAAAAGACAACATTTATAATCTACTGTTTAAGGCACCAGTTCTTTAAATGTCTTAAAATTTTTAAAGTTATTAGAACATTGATAAATTGAATATATAAACAAATATAAATAAATAAAACATATAATAAACAAATATAAATAAAATATTTATATATAAATACAGTCAAACCTGTCTGTAATGGAACCCCAAGGAACCAAACAACTCTTCTGTAGTAGACAGGTTTCTGCTATATATAGGTTACCTACTAAAGATATCACTTGATTAATGCGATTAATAAATTTCTCAATGTTACCGCATATATCAAAATCGCATTAATCAAATATGGCAGTAACTTGGTACTTGTCCAAACAATCACCACCTGCTAGGACAAATTTTCGGTTAATACCAAATATTTTTATTTTAACTTTAATTTTTTCATTCATCCGTAAAAAGTTCTCTAAGATAAAAATGAGTAACTAATTTAAAAGTAAGACAAAACCTTACAGCTGCTACCTTCATCTGACAAAATTATACTCAATTCAGTTTGTTTTATTCATAAGTGAATAAAAAATAAAAAAAAAAAACAAACTGTGTGCAGAAAACAATCATCAGACATTTTACAACCATTTCAAGTGGATGTAATGTTTCAACAATATGTGTCGGTGACATACTAAGATTTATTGCAAATTCATGAGTTGTTATTCATCAATCTTTAACAATTTCTTTCCGCAATTTCTCTTCAAAAGCTATTGAAGAGAAATTGTTTGCCCATATGTTTTGTATCCTTTAGTTCAAAATTTCCAGAACAAAACTTTCAAAACCACATTTGACACATTTGTAGTTTAGAAGCATCTTCCCCAAACACGGTATGAGTATTTTTTACTGTTTATATAGCGTGATATCCTTTATGAAACATAAAATAAACATCAGGCATATTATGCATGCTTTTTATCTGCAGATATTTAGACTTAATTCAAACAAAATGTGATGTAAAAAAGTTTGAAATAAGCTTTAAAACAATGAATACAATCTCACATCAAGAATAATGTGTTAAATTTCACAAATAATTACAACACATATTTATGTTATGTAAAAACAGCTGTTAATAAAAACTTCCCGTTCAAATCCCAATAAAATTACTGTAATACAGTAGTCATATTTTGCTATTCTGTATCGAATATGTGTATTTTTTTAATTTTGTGATTTATACATGCTAGACTTGTAAACTTCTTGTTAAATTTGTGCTAAATTAAATAAAGATATTGATTTTTTTGTTATATGGTCTGATTTTCCTTTTCATTTCTGCATTGGACAGGTTCTGCTATATACAAGTTCCGTTATAGACAGGTTTGACTGTATAAATAAATTATAAATATAAAAAAACGTAATAAATATAATAAACAAATATAATAAAACATAAAAATATATATAATAAATTTTTATGTTTTATTATATTTTATATTTGTTTATATATATGTATATTATATTTACATGTAGTTATATTATATAAATAACTAAACATTCAATTTATCATGTTCTAATAACTTTATCTAAAGATTTTAAGGCAGCATTTAATTAAAGAACTGATGCCTTAAACAGTAGATTATAAATGTTCTTTTATATTTTGATTTAAAATTTTAAATAAATCAAATTTTGAAACTAAGCCATAAATAAGAGGTGCCTCAAAACTCATTAAGAATAAATTTAATAAGTAATGCAATTTTGATATTTACACTCCTCAAAAGTGAAATTGCAATACCATGAAGAAATGTGCATAGCCACATGTAAATTGCAAGATTGATACAGGTGACAGGGATGATTAAGTTTGAGTATGCATCGGGTGACAACCGGATGGCCGAGCAGTCAAGATGGCAGCCTACCACTCTGGGGACCAGGATCAAATCCAGATGGGTCAAGAAATCGCCTGGAATTTTTTGGGGGTGGTCTGTCTGGATATGTCGAGCCCCATCCCTTGGCCACCCCATTGTGGGCCTGGCTGAACCGATAATGGGCTTGCTTAAGAGAACCCATAATGGGTCCTCTTAGTGCCCACAGAGTGGAAGGAGTTGAAAAAAAAAAAGTATGCATCAGGTCATGAGATACCCAGTTTCGGGCTATAACCTTACGGGTGGCCAACAGTTTTTGCCCCTAGGCCGAACTGAAAAGAAATCTTTTTCCATGGGCCAAACCAGAGCTGCCCTAGGAAGATTTTGAGGTGATGCGAGATCTCATTGTGGTGTCACCCCGTAGAGACTGAATTGTAGATAGAAATTACAAATACATTTTTCACATTATCATGCTCTATCAACACTCTACGCTGTACTTACAAGATTTGTAATGGAGGGTTAACTCTAAACACACGGTGAGTTGTTGATTTTTTTGTTTTTTTTAGGCATCAGAATTTTTCATCAAGCTATTCAGATTTCAGTACCTAATATTGAAAGATTGATTGTGGGCCACATAAATTCATTAGACGGGCCGGATCTGGCCCATGGGCCATATGTTGGCCATGCCTGGGTTAAGACCAGCAGTCAGCTCAGGCAAATGCAAATGCTTCAGTAACGGTTTGCAGCAGCTGAACTTTTGAAGAAGCATAGAATATGCCTCAGAGACAACAGCAAGCTGAGTACCACCAGTTAAAGCTGGGAAATGAGCCACATCCTGGGAACTGTGCAACCTCAGTTTGTTGATGCATGGAGTTCACATGCATGTTGGGCATGACATGAGTACCATCCAGAGATGTGTGACATGAAGGATGGAGGAACATCTGTGAATACATCAAAGATGAAGTGGATCACACTGACACATGACAAAGCACACAGACTAGCAGATTCGCTAAATGGCCTGTTGGAACCCATTTGTTGTGGCATGTGACATCCAAAACCACTTGTTGCTGTCAACAGATTCATCTATGTCCACCCAAACCATTTGCAACAGGTTGCATGAAGTTAGGCCACATGCATAGCAACCAACAATGGAGAGTGCCATTAATTGCTCATCAGAGTGATGCATGCCTGGTATGGTGGTGTTGTCATCACAACTGGACCACTGGCATTGGTATTGTCTATGGATGAATCCCATTTGTCTGGAAGGAAGATTGTGGATAGGTGTAACAGTATCCCAGGGAATGTTATGTGCTAACCCTTTTTGCCAACCATCAAACTGGCCCCATCCATACCAGGCATCATGGTTTGGGGAGACATCATGTTTGATCAGCAGACAGCTCTGATCACATTTCTAGTATTTTGACAGTGGACCAGTATGCCACATAAATTGTGAAGCCTGTGGTTTAGCCACTAGTGCAGGCCACACTTGACAGTGTTTCAGTTAGTGATGTGCCGGATATCCATATTCATATCTGCATATATCTGAGGGGAAAAAAGATCCGTATCCATTACTTTTTAGCGGATCTTTAACAGATCTTTTATCTTAATGAATTTCATTACTTATATGAAATTTTAAAGATATGTAGCAATAAAATATTAATAACTTCAATTCAAATCACTTTTTATTTCTTAAAATCACATATTTGGCACATTCATATTGCAAAAATTTTATTACGCAAAAATCATTTACTATCGTAAAATATTTCCATATTACACT